GATAATTTATCTACTTGCACGTTTAATTTACTTTCCTGTACTTTCCAGTGATTTTGGTTACTCTTAGTGCACTTTAATTTATGTCATTTACTCTTAGTACAATTTAATTTATGTCATTTACTTTTAGTGCAATTTAGTACAATTTAATTTATGTCATTTACTTTTAGTGCAATTTAATTTATGTCATTTACTCTTAGTGTAATTTCATTTTATGTCATTTACTCTTAGCGCAATTTAACTTTATGTACTACTTTTTTGCTTCGACACCTTTTTACTGTTTTCTTTACTTCAGTCAATCTTCATATTCTCTAGTTTCTTAAGCAAAAATACAAAAAAAGAGAACCTTCGATTTTAGTATGTATGCTTTGTTACGTTTTCCGCGTTTCTAATATTCATGCTTTATTTCATCCATTTGGCTTGATACTTTGAGATTTTCAATTTATATACATTTTTTGATTGAAAAATTGTTTGTTAACCTAAATAAAAAGAATTTACGTGATTGAAATTTGGTTAGAACCTAAGTTTTTAGGAAATTGAAACAACTAAAATTTTCACCACAAATTGACAATAAAATCTTTATGGTAACTATTTACATTTTTAAATTATACTTCAAATATCATAAAATTTTATTTATCATACATAATTCAACATTCAAAGTCATATATTGATAATATGTATCAATTTAAAAACATTGTATAATTCATTAAACATTAAACTTATATTTTAAATTGTCATTACATATAATAATTTTGTATTCAATGAAAAATTTAAATAATAACAAGCAATTTTATTTTTCAAAATTTAAAAATAGACTAGTTTAAAGATAATTTATTCATTCAATTCATGCTAAATCAAAATTATAGATAAATTATATTTTAAATAGTCATCTATAATTATATATAAAATATAATGCTTTTATAAATGTTATTTTGTATCATGTGAAAAGAAAAATAAGAATGTGATAAAAATAATAGTTATTATGATTTATATATTTAAAAATAAAAAATAGATATATTTAAAGAATGAAAAGAGAAAATAATATTTTAAAATAAATTAATTATAAACATGTGGACACACAATTAGTTATATATAATAATTTTGTATCTTATAAAATATTAAAAAATATTTTGTAATAACTTGTTTAGAACATAATCATAAACGCTCACTGTTTCACTGTTGTACTCCACTAATTAATTATTGATGGTTTATTGTGGTTACTTTTTCAATAGAAGCATTTAATTTGACAAAATATAAAATTATTTATATAAAAAATTTAAAAATCAAAATTTAATTTTATGTAGTTTTAATTTAACACTGAATATGAACGAAAATGAATTAATATTTATAATTTGATGTGGATTATGTTGTGATTTTCGTAATTATAATTTATTAATATTATAAAAATTATTAAATATTTTATAATGAATATTTTCAATTAAAACGATATTTTATAATTTTTTATACTCATAATTTTAATTTTTTATATTTATAAATAAAATGTACAATTTTAGAATTAAAAAAGTATAATAAAATGTTTTTTAAATATAAATATAATCAAATCATAAAACAATAGTTAAAAAAAACATAATGGTCTAAAAATATAATATCAAATGGAATTTTGTTTTTTATTGATTTAATTTTGAAGATTCATAATATAAAAAAATATGTATATATATATATATATATATATATATATAATTCTAAACTGATAAATTAATATATCTTATTATATAAATGGAAAATATTAATATTTTTATAAAGTTTTATTAAAATTATTAATAATTAAAAATTAAATTTGTGATATTTTAGACTTAGATTTTCATCTTTTATTAAGATTAGAAAGATTAAAAAAAATGATGTATTCATGCACTTTTTTTATTTGAACTATTCATACATTAATAACTTTTGTTGTAGAAATTGTAACACCTTACGTCTTTATTTTGTTTTTTAATTATATATAAAAATATATTAACTTGTGTTTATGCTAAATAAATTTAAATACTCAAATATTAACCAATTCATAAATGAAATTAGTCTCCAATTTTCATAGATTAATTTCTTTATTTATATGTTAATTATTTCATTGATAAATAATAACATTTAAGAATAAAATAAAATAAAATAGACAATAAATGATCTCATGTTATTTTGCTTATGCATTATTTTATTCTTTAGCCCATAAAATAGGGATGGAATGATTTCCTTTTAAATAAAAACTTGGAAATATATTATTAAATTTCATATTTCTTATATTAGAGAAAATTAATACCAAATAAATGCAATTTAAAACAAAAGTGTCAGAATTTCATATGAAATTTTACTAATTTTTGTCACTTATCAAAATTTCACGGTCCAAATCTGGTATTCACATGAACCAATATAAATATACTCTTGAACTTCTTAATGATAGTAATTTACTTGGTTCCAAATCCTTTGTTATATCTCACACTTACGTGTTCTGACATTGTTTGTCATATGGATTCTTAAATACTTAAAATGTTCACCTGCCCAAGGTATTCTTAAATACTTAAAATGTTCACCTGCCCAAGGTTTTTTTTTTGTCTCTACATTTGATTTTTGCTTTTGCTCGATCACCAAATTATCTCTTTTCGTGATCTTCATGTTTCATTGGGTCCTACTAATTCATCTTTTTGTACTATTTTTAGTTATGATAGGACAATTCTATATCAAAGTTGTTTTATGGGGTTATATATTGTTGGGTCTTTTCGAGGGAGCTAACCATATAAGAGAATATAACATCATTCTCAACCTAAAATCTTAAGATATTAGGTCATAAGTCTTTCTTACTTATAAGTTACTCAGTTTTCTCATTTTTATCCAATGTGGGACTTCAAACTCACACTTGAATTCTCAACATATACATACCCTCCTTGTACTCCTTTTTAGAGTGTGAAATTTTAATAAAAACAAATAAATTTCATTGTACGTATGTGAACATTAAGAATCTATACAAAGACATAATCGTAAGAGATTATTTTTGCTTTTTATTGACTTAATTTTGAAGATTCATAATATATAACAATATATATATATATATATATATATATATATATATATATATATATATATATAATTCTTAATTGATAATTTTTTAATTAGATAAATGGAAATTATTAATATTTTTACGAATATTTTATTAAAATTAAATTTGTGATATTTTATACTTAAATTTGCAAAAATTTTATTAAAATTAGAAATCTAAAAAAAATTGTACTCATGCACATTTTTTTTATGTGAACTATTCATACATTAATAACATTTGTTGTAGAAAGTGTAACACCATTACGCCTTTCTTTTGTTCTTGTATATATAAAAATATAACAAGTTGTTGTGGTTGTTCTAAATAAATTTAATTAAGCAATTCAGAAATGAAATTAGTCTCTAATTTTCATAGATTAAATTCTCTTTATTTTGATGTTAATTATTTGATTGATAAATAATAAAATTTAAGAAAAAAATAAAATAAAATAGACAATAAATGATCTCATGCTTATGCATTATTTAATTCTTTAGCCCATAGCATGGATTACATATGAGTATTTGAGATGATAGTTGTGTTTTTATTTTACCCATTTCATTTGATTGTGTTGTAATTTTGTAACCCATAGAATGGGCAAGACTATAAATGTGAACAATTTAAAGTCTTTGGAATAATTATACTTTTTCCATTTCCTTGTGGTAGGTACCTAATTTTGTAACCCGTCAAATAAGCATTCATTTTTCTCCATTTCCTTTTCAATGGTGACCTAATTTTCTAACCCACAAAATCTGCATAACTAGATAAAAGTCTTTGTATAAAATGGAGAGGACCAGAAACACTAACAATTTAAAGTCTTTATAGGTTGTTTTCATATTTATTGCTTAGTATGCTAATTTTATACATATTTATTACTTCAAGAGGATCCCAAATATTTTCTTCCAAATAAACATACTAAGTGCCCATATATTCACAAAATAATATTATATGCGTTTTTAATTCAACTCCTTTCTTTTTAATTCAAATTAAAATAGACAAAGTGATGATTGTTTCAAGCAATATGATAATGAAAACCGAAAATTGCATAAAAGAAAAGAAAATAATTCTATGAGTTAGATATTTTGATGACTTTGTATATTTATTCTTCTAGCCTACCACTAAAACAAAATTTGGATAAAAACTTTATATGTGATGGCTTGGTCTGATAATGAAATATATGAATATGTGAGTGTGAGAGTGAGAATGAATGGCTAAGACTGTCAAAGACAAAGACCTTTAGATAGAAATGATAAAAGTTAATTTTGAAATTGATTTCAATATTAATTTTAACCGTTAATTCTTAGCTTTCAGTTCAAGAAATCATGTTTAAAGAAAAACATTATAAGTGACATATGAATATGATTTATTGTAACAATTATTTTTGGTTATACCAAGACTTTTAAAATGAAAACTTATGCTACTGATTTTGACATGTGAATTTGATTTTATAAATTTAATGAAAGTGAAGAAAAAATAAAGGCACTGCAGCGGTATAAGTGTAAATATTAGAAAGAAGTTTTATATGCATTACCAAGAAGCACTTTTTGTTTCCTATTAAGAACTTTTGTGATCATGAATTCCTCCATTCTGATTATTCTGTTTCTTTATCTTTGGTTATTAACTTTAAGTATGATTGCATGCAGAGAGATATTATGCATTCAAAGTGAGGGAGAGGCACTGTTGAAGTTGAAGCATCATCTCAAAGATCCTTCAAATAGGCTCTCTTCTTGGAATGCATCTGCCATTTCCGATTGTTGCCAAATAGGCTATCGACGGAGCAATCCCTTCCCCAATCAGGAATCTTTCCAATTTGTTGTATCTTGACCTTAGAGGTTATTCTCTGTTTACCGAAAATGTTGATTGGCTATCAAGTCTTTCAAAGCTTGAATATATTTCTTTAGGAGATGCAAACCTATCCCAATCATTTCATTGGCTTCACAATCTCCTATCTCTTCCTTCTTTGATGCACTTGCATTTGTCACATTGCCCCCTCCCTCTCTATGATCAACCATCTTTGCTTAACTCTTCGTCTCTTGTCACTCTTGATATTTACGAAATTTCCCAACCTTCTCCATTCTCTTTTTTCCCGAAGTGGGTGTTGGGACTGAAGAAACTTGTTTATCTTGGTTTAAGATATACCTTCTTCGAAGGTCCATTTCCTGAAGATATTCGAAACCTCACACTTCTTGAAAATCTTGACTTGTGTGGAAATTTATTCTTATCTTCTATACCTGATTGGTTTTACAGTAGTTTTCATCATCTCACGTCCTTGAACCTAAGGGGCAACAACTTGCATGGAACTATTCCTGATGGCTTGGGAAATGTGACTTCTCTTTTAAGACTTGATTTATCAGACAATCAACTTGAAGGACCAATTCCAACTTCTTTGAGTAATCTCTGCAGCTTAAGGGAGATATACTTCTCATATCTCAAACTGAACCAACAGGTTAATGAAATTTTAGAAATTCTTGCTCCTTGTATTTCCCATGGACTCGTAGTACTTGAAGTTCAAAATTCTCATCTTTCAAGAAATTTGACAAATAAAATTGAAAAATTTAAAAATATTGACACACTAGATTTTTCTTCCAATAAAATTGGTGGAGAACTTCCAATATCACTTGGAAAGCTTTCATCATTGAGATCTCTTAGTCTGTTCGAAAATCAATTTAGTGGAAATCCATTTGAAAGTCTTGGATTACTCTCTAAATTGTCATACCTTCATATTGATGACAATCGTTTTCAAGGAGTTGTGAAGCAAGAATATCTTGCAAATCTTACTGGATTGAAGAATTTGTATGCATCAGGGAATAATTTGACTTTAAAAGTGGGTCCAAATTGGCATTCTACTTTTCAGCTTCAAAATTTGGATATGAGTTCGTGGCAGTTAGGTCCCAACTTTCCATCGTGGATTCAATCACAAAACAAATTAAACTATATAAAAATGTCCAACACAGGGATTGTAGATTCTATTCCCCGATGGTTTTGGAGAACATTTTCTCAAGCTTCTTATCTAAACTTCTCCAATAATCATATCCATGGAGAGCTTGGGACTACATTAACGAATCCAATATCAATCTCTCATGTTGATCTAAGCGCAAATAACTTAGGTGGCAAGTTGCCCTCTCTTTCAAACGTCGTGGGTTGGTTAGATCTTTCAAGCAATTCATTCTCCAAATATATGGATGACTTTTTATGTGAAAATCAGGACAAGCAAATGCAAATGCAATTTTTCAGTCTTGCATCAAATAATTTGTCAGGAAAAATACCTGATTGTTGGATGTTTTGGCCAAATCTAGTGGATGTAAACTTACAAAGCAACAATTTTGTCGGGAACTTACCCTCATCCATGGGTTCATTGGCAGGGCTACAGTCTTTACACATCCGTAACAACTCACTCTCGGGAGCATTTCCTACAATTTTGAACAAGACAAATAAACTGGTTGTCTTGGATCTTGGGGAAAATAAATTTGCCGGAAGCATTCCAGCTTGGGTTGGAGAAAGTCTTTTAAATATAAAAGTTCTTATCCTTCGATCAAATAGATTTTTGGGTCATATTCCTAATCAAATATGTGATATGAGTCTTCTACAGGTTTTAGACCTTGCACAAAATAATTTGTCTGGAAATATACCATCTTGTTTCAATCGGTTGAATGCCATGACTCTGACGAACACAAGTTCAAATCCTCGTATCTATTGTGAGCCAGCAAACAATACATTTCTAGATTGGCCAGTTAGTGTAGTTAGTGTGCTCCTTTGGCTGAAAGGAAGAGGAGATGAGTACAAAAATATACTGGGATTGGTGACAAACTGTTGAAATATTGCCAAGCGTACCAAATTATCAATCGTAGTATAGTATTTCGATTAAATAAAAGTCGATCCCACGAGGAACAGTTTCAATGGAAATTCCCAATTATGCTTACTAAGTAGATTAAAACAGATTAGGTTTTGCAAATAAGAGTTGAATTGAAATTAAATGACAAAGACTTGTAAATTGTTGAGAAAAATCAATTAAATGTACTTAGGATTGACTTCCTTCCTTATCCCTCTTTTGTAATGGCTAAATCAATTAAGAACGTCAATTAACCTAACAATGTTGATGCTACCTACTCAAATCATCCATGTTGATTCCTCACACATGAAATTCATAAGAAAACCTAATAAATGTTGATTCCTCACACAATTAACAGATTTTCCAGCATTAGGGTTAGGGTGTTAAGCAATTGATACATTCATTCCATTCCTGGCAATTAACGTAACAAATATTCTTATCGTGATCTAGGGTTCAAGATATATTTTCCAATCATACCTCAAACAATCAAGAATAAATCATTCCAAAGCATAAAGGATAAGAATAACAACATCAAAACATAGATTAATATATCAAAATATCACCATAATACAAAAGAGTTCAAAGGAAGTGCACCGAATCCTAAGAGAATGAAGTTAGCCACTCATGTTGGCTATTATAATGCTTCAATTGATGAAGAAGAATTGATAAAGATTGGACAAAATCCTAACAGTAGTCGTGCCTCCTCTCCTCCAAGACTGCTTGCTTTTCTCAAAACACAACTTATCTTTTTATAAGAGAATTTGGGTCGGGCCTTGCATCATTCATTCGCTTAAGCGCTCTTCTTTCTTTCAATTTTACTCTAATTATGTTGACAATTATGCTCCTTACTCTTGTATCAAGGTATTCTCGAATTCATCCTATATTGGGAGAAAAATATATTAGAATTAACATAAGTTAAGTGGTTTCATAACAATTCAAGGCATAATTATATCAACATTTTACCACTTAACAACTCCCCCCAACCTAGAATCTTGCTTGTCCCAAACAAAGTAATTTTTCCAAAACAAAATCATCACCTATTATCTTTTTCTCTTCTAGAACCACAACATAAAAATTTTCAGAGGTGATGCTCACAACTCCAAATGAAAATAGAACACATAAGCATTCAAGTTATAGAAACCAACAAAGAATAATTAGTCCTCAACTATCCTCAGAGAAGCATGATCTCTCAAATAGAGTTATATATACTCATCTCTAATTCTCACAGGTAAGTGTTTATCTCATTTAATCACTTCATTTAGGCAATCCAATATTGATAATCATCTTCAAGCAATCAACAATTGTTAAACAAGACTTAAATCAAAAGGTCTTTTGAGGCTTGTAATGGGGCTGGGCTAAGAAAAAATTATTGGTTTTTCTAGGATATACAAAAATATTTGAGAAATTCAACTCATATGAATGATTCTTGATTAACAATTTCTCAAGTCAGGTTTCAAACTTTATGTTTTTGTCCCTAACACAATGACAATGAGTTAATAATCTCACAAGTTATTACCCCCTTTTGACTTTTTTTTTTTTTTTAACATGTATCCTTTTTTTGGCTTTGCAAATTTTTAAGCTTTGTTTTTCCTTTTTCTTTACACTCTTTTAGCAATACCCAACAATAAGAAAAATAGTGACATTCATACTCATTTCCTTTCTCAAATATAGGAAGGTAGATAAATAGTGTTTAGGCTTAAGGGTTCTGTTTAAGAAACAATATTAATTTATTTATTTTTTTGCTCAGAAGGGGTTCAAATGGATGTCCTATAATTAATGCATGGTTGACTATTTGGGTCTGAGTTATATCTACTACAAAGAAAAAAATGCCTTTATCATTTTCAAGTCTTGCTAACATGTAATCACATCAAAGAATCAACCAATATCAGTTATCATCACAAAGTGTTGACACTCAATTTATCTGTTTGTGGTACTCTGTTCACCTGAGTTTTGGCTAGCTTCTCCAATTTAGTTAATTCCTAATTTTCCTCATCAATTCCTTTTCACTATCATACTCAATATCCCAAAATCACTTGTTATTGGAAACAATCAAAATTATTTTTCACGTTCTAGATTTGAATTAGACAATAAGCAATAATCTCATATATGGATCTAAAATAAATTATGGGACAACAAGGGAATTCAAAATTTAAAATAAAACAATTAAAAACATTAAATTAAAAACAAATTAAAAACATTAAAAGTAAAGTAAGTTTCCTCCCTCATTTTCTTCATTTGTCATGTACTCCTTATCTTGTGCCTCAGCCTCAGCTGCAGACTTTCTCACCCCCTCCAGAAAAGTTGGACTGTCCCCAGGCTATTGAAGTAAGGCTTCAAAGTCTTGAGGAGAAGTGCACTGTGTACCTGGAGCAATTTTGCAAAGAAAGAACCTAAGGAAGAAAAATGCACAAAAAAATTTAAACTGCAAAAAGAAAAAAAACAAATTCAAAACATTGGGTTGCCTCCCAGGAGCGCTTGTTTAACGTCTTCAGCTTGAGGCCTATTTGCTTTAGGGCTCATGCAGGTGAGTGATCAAGGTGATATATACGCATTCTCCATCCCTTAACTGTCCTTGTGAGAACGAATTTATTCTTTTCATTGCGAATAACCTTACAACTGTCAGAGATTGGATAAATCATACCTGCTTCAAGAGGTTTCAGTATCTCTCTTTGAATAACTTCCTTCATAGTCAGACTAAGATGTCTTTGGGGTTGTGCAACACGCTTGTAATCTTGTTTTTCAGTTAAGATGGTTAATTCCTCCAAAGTGTCTATTCTAAGACAATCTTTTTTGTCTTTCGGTTGTTGTACAACTTCAAACAGATTAAAATTAACTTCATCATCTCCACTTCTAATTTTCAACTTGCCCATGTCAACATCTATAATTACTTTGGCAGTCTTCATAAATGGTCTTCCCAGGATCAATGGGACTTCCTCATTTTCCTTCATGTCCATAATCACAAAATCAACAGGAAATATGAATTTGTCCACTCTAACTAAAACATCTTCTGCTACTCCATAAGGAATCTTTAGAGATCTGTCAGCTAGTTGCAATGTCATTCTTGTAGTCTTTACTTTCAAGTCTCCTATTCTTTTGAGCATAGATAATGGAATGAGGTTTATACTGGCCCCTAAATCAAGCAATGATTTTTTCATCGGTAATTCACCAATTGTGACTGGTATAGTGAAACTTTCAGGGTCCTTGGACTTTTGAGGCAATGATTTTTGGAATATAGCACGACATCCTGCCTCTAACTCTACTATTTCATCAGTAAATCTTCTTTTCTTAGTTAAGAGCTCTTTCATGAATTTGGCATATGTTGGCATTTATTCCATAGCTTCCACAAATGATATATTAATTTGCAATTGCTTGAAAATATCCATGAATCTTGCAAACTGTCTTTATTTATCTATTTGTGAAGGAGCCTTGGGATACGGTAACTTCTCTACAAATGGTTTTTGACTCCCTCCTTTTTCTATCTTCTCTTTGTTCTTCTTATTAGGAATATGTCTTTCTTTATTATTCTCATCTTCTTGCTTTTCATCTTCTTTTACCAAAACTTCTTCTTCAACAACTATATTGTCACCAATCCCCTTACCTACAACTTTTCCACTCCTTGTAGTTATTGAATTGCATTGCTCCTTTGGATTTGTTTGTGTGTTAGCTGAAAATTGTCCTCCTTGTTGCTGCTCAGATAATTGCTTAGCCAGTTAGCCTATTTGGGTCTCTATATTTCTGAATGAAGCCTCAGTATTTTTCTGATTAACCATAGTGTTTTGCATAAATTTTTCTACAATATCCTCCAATTTACTTATTCTGTCAGGCACTGAAGGATAATGCTGTTGCTGTTGTTGATATGGAGGTTAATGATATGACTGTTGTTGAAATGCAGGTTGTCCTTGTTTCCACCCAAAATTTTGATTTTGATTTTGATTCCCTCTCCATCCTTGTGCAAAATTATTCTGATAATTATTGAGATTAGGAAAATTACCTTATCTGCCTTGACTACTATCTTGGACCCCCATATAATTAGCTTCTTCTTGTTGAATGTTGCCTTGATAAGAGCATTGTTCATTTGAATGATCACCTCTACACAAATCACAACTCATCTGTTGATTAGGAATAATTTGTACTGTGTGCATTTGATGAGGTAATTTCTCTATTTTCTGGTTCAATGCTTCAATTTGTTGGGTCAAAATTTTATTCTGGGCTAAGAGAGCATCTGTGGTGTTAAGTTCAAGGACTCTTTTCCTTTGAATTGGATGTCTATCATGTTGGGCCTGTTGGTCTGTAAAGGCTAGTGCATCAATAATTCAGGTGGCATGATCAATTTCTACATCCAACATAGATCCTCCTGCTGCAGCCTCTAATAACATCTTTGCATCATGTCGCAAGCCAGTATAGAAAATATTCAACTGAGAAACGTCATCAAATCCATGATTTGGGCAACTTCTCAACAGTGATTTAAATTTCTCTCATGCTTCACAAAATTGCTCATCTGCTCCTTGTCTGAAAGAAGTGATGTCAGATTTGGCTTTGATGTAGCGGGATGGTGGGAAAAATCTGTTTAGAAACTTCTCTTCTACACTACTCCAATTAGTCAAACTCTGATTAGGATGTGCTTTCAGTCATTCTTTTGCCCTACCTACCAAAGAAAAAGGAAATAATATCAAATATGCAGATTCAAGATTTGTTGCTCTAAATCCCATGGTATCAATCAACTCATAAAAAGTAAACAAATGAATATAAGGGTCTTCATGATCCAATCCAGTGAATTGATGAGCACTAATCAAGCTTAAGAAAGCTGGATTCATCTGCAATGTATGATCGTCCGGAATGACAATGCTGGAAAAATATCTTGGACCTTGCTGTATAGCACAATTTCTAAGAGTTCTTCTAGGTGGATTTGCATTTGGGTTTTGATTTGGATTTGTATTTGGATCTGGATTCAGATTTGCTCCTTCTTTCGCCATATCTTCTATAATTGGGTTTGGTAAATCAAGTGTGAAAGAAGAATTAGCAGATTCTCTTGTAGTTTGTTCTTAAGTTTCCCTTCTTCGAAGATACCTGTCCTCTTAAACGCATAAATCAAAAGAGTAACTCAAGCAAATATTAGCACAAACTAAAAACTAAATAATAATAATAATAATAATAATAATGATAATGATAATGATAATAATGATAATAATGATGATAATAATAATGATGATAATGATAATAATGATAATGATAATAATGATAATAATGATAATGATAATAATAATGATAATAATGATAATGATAATAATGATAATAATAATAATGATGATGATAATAATAATGATAATGCTAATAAAAAAATAGAAATAAAAATAAAATACTCAATAAGCTAAACAAAGAATTCTCAAAGAACACCGTTCTCCGGCAACGGCGCCAGAAATACTTGTTGAAATATTGGCAAGCGTACCAAATTATCAATCGCAGTATAGTATTTCGATTAAATAAAGTCGATCCCACGAGGAACAGTTTTAATGAAAATTCCCAATTATGCTTACTAAGTAGATTAAAACAGATTAGGTTTTGCAAATAAGAGTTGAATTGAAATTAAATGACAAAGACTTGTAAATTGTTGAGAAAATATCAATTAAAGGTACTTAGGATTGACTTCCTTCCTTATCCCTCTTTTGTAATGGCTAAATCAATTAAGAACGTCAATTAACCTAACAATGTTGATGCCACCTACTCAAATCATCCATGTTGATTCCTCACACATGAAATTCATAAGAAAACCTAATAAATGTTGATTCCTCACACAATTAACAGATTTTCCAGCATTAGGGTTAGGGTGTTAAGCAATTGATACATTCATTCCATTCCTGACAATTAACGTAACAAATATTCTTATCGTGATCTAGGGTTCAAGATATATTTTCCAATCATACCTCAAACAATCAAGAATAAATCATTCCAAAGCATAAAGGATAAGAATAACAACATCAAAGCATAGATTAATATATCAAAATATCACCATGATACAAAATAGTTCAAAGGAAGTGCACCGAATCCTAAGAGAATGAAGTTAGCCACTCATGTTGGCTATTACAATGCTTCAATTGATGAAGAAGAATTGATGAAGATTGGACAAAACCCTAACAGTAGTCGTGCCTCCTCTCCTCCAAGACTGCTTGCTTTTCTCAAAACACAACTTATCTTTTTATAAGAGAATTTGGGTCGGGCCTTGCATCATTCATTCGCTTAAACACTCTTTTTTCTTTCAATTTTACTCCAATTATGTTGACAATTATGCTCCTTACTCTTGTATCAAGGTATTCTCGAATTCATCCTATATTGAGAGAAAAATATATTAGAATTAACATAAGTTAAGTGGTTTCATAACAATTCAAGGCATAATTATATCAACGTTTTACCACTTAACACAAACATTGATTTGTCAAACAACCAATTAGTAGGAGAAATACCAAGAGAAATCACAGATTTAAATGGATTGATATTTTTGAACTTATCCCACAACCAACTAATTGGTCATATTCCAGGAAGCATTGGTAATATGCAATCATTATTGTCCATCGATTTCTCAAGGAATCAACTTTCTGGGGAAATCACTCCGACCATGTCAAATCTGAGCTTCCTGAGCATGCTAGACTTGTCATATAATCATTTGAAGGGAAAAATTCCAACAGGAACTCAATTGCAAACCTTTGATGCCTCCAACTTCATTGGCAACGATCTCTGCGGCCTACCACTGGCCATCAATTGCAGCTCCAACAATGGAATTGATAGTTTTGATGACAATGACAAAGGGAGTGACAGGCATGGAGTGAACTGGTTTTTTGTGGGCATGACATTTGGATTTGTGTTGGGATTTTGGATGGTGATTGGTCCTTTGCTCATTTGTAGATCTTGGCGCTATGCCTATTTTCATTTCCTTCATCATGTGTGGTTCAAACTTCAATCTTTCTTCTTCTGATGCAATTTGTCTCTTCAATGTATTGTTTGGTTGATCAGATTTGAGAGCGTTATTTAAATTCTCTTAATGGATGTCAAAGCTAAAGAATCACAAAATATCGTATTTTGGTGAAGCTTACATCACAATAATTCAATCTAATGGACCTAATATCTTATATTACCTCTTTCTTATCTTTTAGTGGTTATGTTAACTAAATATAAATAATCAAATATTAACCAATTCATAAATAAAATTAAACTCCTATTTTCATAGATTAATTTCTCTTTACTTTTTATGTTAATTTTATCATTAATAATATAAAATAGTCAAAAAAATATATCATGTTTGATTGTTTTCATTTATATTTTATGTTATTTTAAGTATGTACTATATTTAATTCTTTGGCCCATAAAATGGGTTACATGAGGAAGAACTATAAATGAGTCTTTGAAATAATAGTTGTGTTTTTACACATTCCATTTCATTGTGTTCTTAAATTTCTAACCCATAATAATTGAGTCTTTGGACTACTCATAGGTTCTACATTTCCTTGTCTTTGGTCGCTAATTTTCTAACCCATAAAATAAGCACGACGAAAAACATTAAGATTTTTCCATTTCCTTTTCTTTGATTGCATAACAACAGTCAGATACAACTCAATTGATGATTCGTACAATCAAAACAAATAATTCAAATTGACGCCATTTTAGATTCACATGAGAGAGGATAGGCTGGAGTATTTGATGATGAATCTCTTCTTCTATTTCATTATATATTTAATATCCATTTAACTTGTTTCATTTTTCTCCATTTCCTTTTCATTGGTCACCTAATTTTCTAACCCATTAAATGATGAGGATTAGAATAATTAACAACTTTTAATGTCTTTGAAACAGTTTCATTTTTCTTCATTTCCTTGTCATTTCATTTTTCTCCATTCCCTTACTTTCTTCTGCTAATTGTCTAACCCGTGGACGACTAGAGATATCAGCAACATAAAGTCTTTGTATCATTTTTTTTTTTTTACCTTCATAATCCATAAGAAACACTGGTCTACACAGTTTAAGATTTTACATGAGAGAATTAAAATTGTAAATATTTTGGGATATAAAGATGACGAGGGATAAATAATATTTTGGAAAAAATTTCACACTTTTTTTGTAGGTTGTTTTATTTTTATTTTGTGAAATGTGATAGATTGATCAAAACTTTTAAAAATAAAAAATCATAGTAAAGCATTTTAGACCTTTATTTTAGGTGTACTCTTTATTCAACTTTGAATTGAAGTTAAAATAGAGAGAAGGATAATTGTTTGATTCAATATGGTAATGAAAACATTGAATGTGATGGCTTGTGAATAGGTGAGTGTGAGAGTGAATGGCTAAGACTGTGTCAAACAAAGTTATGATAGACCTCAAAAACTTGATTAGGTCTTCAAAAATTAAGAGAAGAAGAAAATAGAGCCAAAAGATAGAGAGCATTACAAATACAGATAGAGATAATAAATTTAGAGACAATTTGGATATTTATGAAGAGAGCCTTTTCAAAAGATTTCAATTTTAATTTTAATTCCAGTTTGAAGAAATCATGTTAAACAAAACATTAAAGATCAACCACTTAAAAGTCTTGAAATTTAATTTTCCTCACGTTTTCTTGCAATTCATGACCTGATTTTATAACCCATGAAATAAATAGGAGTAAAAAGATGAAGAATATAAAGTCATTGGATTAGTTTCATTTTTGTGTTTTATATTATTATTAGGTTAAGAGACAGAGGATGTGAGAGAGACTAAGAACTCACAAAAACTTAATTCACGTGGTTTTTTTTTTTTAATTCTGAACAAAAATTGTTGGATGAATGATAATTATAATATTACAAATGAAATTAGTATTTGACAAAGTCTTTATAAATTAAAAGCAAATTTTATTGGATGAACAATAATAATGGTATTATTGAAATTTATTCTTACAAAAAATCAATTGTATAGGTCTAAACAAAATTATACGACGAAAGTTTCATGTGCATTGACTTTATTATAAAAGATACCCGAGATGGGACTCGTAGGGACCATTTAGACTCTTACTAATAACTTATAATATTATTTTTATGGTCTAATTATATTATTAATTGGGTATCTTAATTTTATATATTGGTATTGAACGTGTGTTAAATGAATAATATTAAATTTTATTAGAAGTAGAAATAATTTTAACTCAAAAAATATTGAGAGTATATCTCATTATCATCAAACAGACCGGCTCATATAAATTTTTACATAACAGAAAAATAAAAAAAATACTTTGAAATGATTTGGCAGACTAAATTATGTATTTAAAAATACTATCAATATAAGAATGAGAATTGGATGAGCGGGCTACATTACCCATGGATTTATTTTATTTTATTTTTAATAAGATTATTTAAAATTATTATGTAAAATTTAATTGTTATTATTTTATTTAAGTTAAAGTATAATTTAAATATCATTAAATTTTAATATAAATAAATTTATTTTTTATTAAATATTAATATAATTAAGTCCTAATATAAAGTATAAATTTAAATAATATTATTTTAAAAAAATGAATTTTATAAATTTGCATTAAAAAATTTAAATATTTTTATAATATTTTTTATTTTACAATTAATTGTAAAACAAATTAAATAAAATTTATTACTAGATAATATATCATCGGACTCATCTTATTGACAACAAGATAATTAACACATGCGTTACTCTTTATTTTCTTTTGTTTTTGTAGACATGAAAATAAATAGTATCTTTTTTTAATCAATTCTATAATTTAAAAGAAAATTTATTTAAATAGAATTTTTTATTTAGTTCGACATATTTATTATTCATATACAAAATTCAATAAGATAAAATAAATTACTCTCAAATAATTTAGTTTTCTTTTTCTCATTTCCTCATTTATATTTTTTTCTCTCATTATTTACTTTTTATTATTATGTTTTTTTTTTCTATCTTCATTTAGTGTTTATTTTCCTTTTTCTTTCCATCTTTTGTTCTTTTCTTACTGTATCTTATTTTTCAATTAAAAATTTTAGAATGAAATTAGATAAAGTGAGTATTTTATTATTTCTAAAAAATAAAAATATTTAAATGATCCAAAAATACTATAATATAATATATTATATTTAAAAATATTATATGATAAATTTTAGATATTACAAATATTATTGTTATGTTAAAATTGTAAGAAAAAAAACATTTAAATCATAAATATTGTATATTTTCCAATTAGATGAGTAATTATTTATTATAATAAAATCATAAATAAAATTATTTACTGTTATAATAAATAAAATTATTTATTGTTATCATAATTTTAAATAATTTAATATTTTTTTTAGTTTTAATATTGATTTTAAAATATTTTTTAACATATTTTTATTATTTTTCAATATATTTAATTAGAATAATAAGTGAAAGGGGGAGAAAAAAATAAATAAGAGACATGAGATAGAAAAAGAAAAGTAAGAAGTGAATGAGGAAAATAAAAAAGGGAATAAAAAATTACTAGAAAAGAGAAAAAAAAACTAGAATCAATCCTATAAATAATACATTTTAAATAAAAAAATTACTCAAATAAAATTTCTATCAATTTATTTATTAAAGTAAACCTATTTATTATCCATGTACTTCTTCTCTCCTAAAAATAGTACATGAAAATAAATAATATTTCTTTTCGGCTTAGTAATTAAATATTTTCTATTAATTGAAAGGTTTAGTGGTTGGTTATGCTAAGTAAATTTAAATACTTAACTATTAACCAATTCATAAATAAATAAAATCCAATAAAATTAGTCTCCAATTTTTATAGATTAATTTCTCTTTATTTTTATGCTAATTCTTTCATTTATAAATAATAAAATCTAAAAAAATAGAAAATAAAGAGAAAGAACAAAAAGTGAGTCTTTGAGTTTTGTTTTTACTCATTTCATTTATTTGTATGCCAATTTTGTAACCCATAAGATGGAGAAGACTAAAAGTACGAATAATTTAATGTTTTTGGAATCTTGTTTCATTTTTCTCCGTTTCCTTTTCAATGGTCCACAAAATGTGCACCACTAGATAAAGTCTTTGTATAAAATGTAAAGACTAACAATTTAAAGTTTTTATAGGTTATTAGTTTCATATTTATTGATTTGTATGTTAATTTTATACATATTTATTACTTTCAGAGGATCCCAAATATTTTCTTCCAAATAAACATTATATGTGTTTTTTAATTCAAATTAAAAGACACAACAACCTTCAGATAAAAATTATTAAAGTTAATTTTAAAATTTATTTCAATATTAATTTTGAACGTTAATTCTTAGCTTTCAGTTCAAAAATCATGTTTAAAGAAAATCATTATAAGTGACGTACACTAGTACAGAAAACATCTTTAACATCGGTTCTTAGCAGCTTTCTACATCGGTTCTAGAACCGATGTAGATACAACCGATGTAGAAAGTTGGTAAGTTTTAACATCGGTTAAGAACCGATGTAGAAAGTCTGACTTTCCACATCGATTCTAGGCCATAACCGATGTAGAAAGTCTGACTTTCCACATCGGTTATAGCTATAACCGATGTGGAAAATTAGACTTTCTACATCGGTTATGGCCTAGAACCGATGTGGAAAGTATTAAAAATCACTTTCTACATCGGTTATGGCCATAACCGATGTGGAAAGTCATATTTTTTTTTAAATACGAATTTTAGTTTTTTATTTTTCAGAATCTGTACAGCATTTTAAATATTTACAGCTACTCAGAATGTTAATCTATATATAGAGGACATGCATTAACACACAAGTAAACATAATGTATATTATATATCTACATTGTATTGTATCAACAAAAACAATAAAGTGATTTTTAATACTTTCCACATAATGTTAATCTATATATCTACATTGTATCTACATAATGTATAGCCATAACCGATGTAGAAAGTGATTTTTAATACTTTCCACATCGGTTATAGCTATAACCGATGTGGAAAATCG